CGCTGGGAGTAAAAATTCAAGGCCGTGACACGACACGCGACACAACAAGCATGAGGAAACGGGGTAAAGACAAAGATCATCTGATTTAAACGAAATTCGTTGATAGATTAGTCAAATTGACCGGAGACGACACGTGTCACTGTGACGTAAGTTAGTTTTGACGTAAGAAACGTCAAAAGTTGATGTCGTTCGATCGCGACCAAATTTGGTGGTTTATGTGAGCGGCGCACAGTGATGCCGAAAACGCGAAAAGTGGCAAAAAATAATTTCTCAACTTACTGCTACATTTTTTAAAATTATTTTTGTTAAATGTGGTTTTCTAAGTATATAAGTGATGTTTGGAATTCAGAAAATTGAATTATGTATACAGTGTGTACTTAAATTGGCTGTAAAAAATAAAAAATGGGTTGTAAAAAATTTAATTATATTATTTTGTCTTCAATAGCATATTAATTTAATACTCTATTCTTTGTAAAGTTTAAAAATATTAAAAAAAAGTTTGTGTAAACACATTAATAAATATACAGGGTTTTATTTTCAGCCCCTTACAATAGAATTAGCATTTCGTTTTTACTGTAATTAATCCTTTTTTCAGAACTAGTTACCAATAAGTATTACAAGTATTATAAGTAGGTATTAAATTCAAGATATTGACATTCATTTCCATGAGAAAAAAAAGAAAGTAAATACATCTGTATATTTTATATATTGAAGTGAAACTTCTTTACGCGCGCTGGGAGTAAAAATTCAAGGCCGTGACACGACACGCGACACAACAAACATGAGGAAACGGGGTAAAGACAAAGATCATCTGATTTAAACGAAATTCGTTGATAGATTAGTCAATAGATTAGTCAAATTGACCGGAGACGACACGTGTCACTGTGACGTAAGTTAGTTTTGACGTAAGAAACGTCAAAAGTTGATGTCGTTCGATCGCGACGAAATTTGGTGGTTAGGCTATGTGAGCGGCGCACAGTGATGCCGAAAACGCGAAAAGTGGCAAAAAATAATTTCTCAACTTACTGCTACATTTTTTAAAATTATTTTTGTTAAATGTGGTTTTCTAAGTATATAAGTGATGTTTGGAATTCAGAAAATTGAATTATGTATACAGTGTGTACTTAAATTGGCTGTAAAAAATAAAAAATGGGTTGTAAAAATTTAATTATATTATTTTGTCTTCAATAGCATATTAATTTAATACTCTATTCTTTGTAAAGTTTAAAAATATTAAAAAAGTTGTGTAAACACATTAATAAATATACAGGGTTTTATTTTCAGCCCCTTACAATAGAATTAGCATTTCGTTTTTACTGTAATTAATCCTTTTTTCAGAACTAGTTACCAATAAGTATTACAAGTATTATAAGTAGGTATTAAATTCAAGATATTGACATTCATTTCCATGAGAAAAAAAGAAAGTAAATACATCTGTATATTTTATGTAGTTAGATATTAATGAAAATAACACCCTTGATTAAGGGTAACACCAAAACATCTAAAAGACTGAGCGCTCTTTTCGCATTAGATGTAAGCAGTTGTTCAGTACAACCATTTAATTTTAGTTATATTTTTAAATGTTCTATAATTTAGAAATATCTGTAATTACCTGTGGTAAAAATATTATACTTAGATGATAATTAGAACTTAGTTACAAGAATTTAATACGCAAGAAAAAGAAACTAAAAATTATCCTAAAGCTTCTAGAAAATATGGATAATATATTTAAGATGGATTTAGCAAATGGATAAAAAAATAGAATAATTTAATCTATAATAAGTTTTGGAGCCTCAGGATGCTGTTCTATTTTACTTGACAGGAGAAGTCTTGGTGATCTCTTACTATATCCGAGAAAATTAGTATCTAGGAGGTGCATAACATTCTTGATAAAAGTTGTTGAATGAATATTGCCGCATGATAGACACATTGACACGTCTTTTTAGTTTATATTAACAATAATTATTCAAAATTAATGAGATTTCTAATAATATTAAATTTAATGTCATATAAGCACAAAACGAATAAAAATTTAGGCTTAACAGAGAAAAGCTAGTTAAAATTACACAATAAAAAGTATTTTTAAATTTGAATACTTTGTATATCGAAAATTAAATTGAATAAGAGAAAATATATTACAGTTTTCTTTCTAAAACTAATTAAAAATAACCAACAACAATATTTTACAGCACCTAAGAAACACCCAGTAATATACTGTCATACGCAATTTATTTTGGGAAACTAAACCATGGTTTTCGGGAGAGTTAGGCAACCTACTAAAGGGTATTTGTGGGCTAATGTTGGTCATGAAACTTCGTAGTTATGAAGAAAAAAGGCTAATAATTGTAACCTACATCATATTTTTTTGGAGCAATTTGGAGCATTTTGTATTAGCTTACATAAAATGTGATTTTAGATTAAGCAGTTCTTAATTACATCAAGGTCTTTATTGATTTTTTTTTATAGTACCAGGGAAGTTAAAACTAGAATTACCATGAGGAAAAACAGTTGAAAACATTGTACTTTCTCAGAGTACCATCAGTTTATAACTAATTTATCACCAACGTTAAAACCAAACCAAACCAAACCAAACGTTAAACGCACTAATTTTATTTAATCAAAATATTTTAGCTTCAGCTAATAATTTTATAAGCTGGAACATTTCTTATCAGGGATTAATAATGGACCCGTTTTCATTCAAAAATCTTCACGATTCTGAAAATATGGTCTATTAGGAACTATACGAGTGAAATTATAATTTAAAAAAAATACTTTTGATATTTTGATTTTCTGCCGCTTTTGGGAACTTCTGCATCACTGTGCGGCGGTGCAGATGGTCCTACCCTGCAAAGTTGGATACGAAAGTGAAAATCATATACGTATAATTTACAAATTATTAATTTGTAAATAATACGTATATGGTGAAAATGCCAAGAGTTAGCTTATGGCACATAATTCTAGTCAGCATGCCTTTTTCTATCAAATAAAGTAAAAAAATACCGACGGTACCAATTAAAAATCAAAAGTTGTAGTTATTTCCGGTGAAACAGGAAGTAAACGAAACTAATTGAGTACGTCAATCAATCCTCGTTTATGTCATATACTAACATACCAAATCTCTAAAAGTTATAAGGGTGAGACCCTTTTGAAAAAAACCTCTCCTATAATAAGATATATAATAACATATTAAGAGATATAGAAAATACACAAGGAAGAAAAAAGAAATAACAAATAAAACAGCACACAAGCATTTACCTTTGAAGGAATATTATACAAGTTTACAAGTTTGATCAGATTTCGAAGGAAAACCTTGAACTTCTCTGAAGTCGACATGTCATTTTACGATGCCAAATAAATTGTACAAAATATTTCGTTTTATTAGAGGTGATACAAAAAGTTGATTAACATTAAGAAATGTTTGTTAATTGTTTAAATCCTTTAAGTAAATTATACCCAAAAATAATTTTTTAATCATAATTATTCATTCGTAAATTGTGTTTAGGTGGATAGGTCATTTTTGTTTATAAATACAGATATTTCTTCTAACCTATGACAAATATTCATCGAGGAGCACCATGTTTCAGTTAAATTTATAAAAATAATCGCAGACATTTTCAACAGTCTATTTAGTAAGTTTCCATCAAAATTTGATATGAATGACTTAATTTGAGGTCGACATTACGCAAGGTTTTAAATGAATTTCCAACTAAAATGTATATTTCAGATGACAATTCTCTAATTAATTTTGATTGATTTATATTAATAATTTAAACTTTAATGTTATCTTAATCTTATATAAAGTATATAGAGTGTAGATAAGCTTTGAAATTAAAACTATGAAATTTGATTTGTTCATCAAATGTTTCTATGTCTTATCTCAATTATATTTTTTTTTCAAAACGGTTTCCACCAATTTTTGTGTGTTACACATATACATTGCAGGCTTTATTTATTTACATATGTTCTGAACCTCTGTCATCAGTCATAACGAACTACCGACTTCTAAATTATTAATAATCTAATAATTATTGTTGAATCACTGTAATAATAAAATATTGTTATTTCGTTCGAATAAAATATTATGTAATTATTTAAGTTTTTAAAATAAAATTGTTTGGATATTTATAGAAATAAAATTGATAAAATGGCCCTGAAAAAAACAATATATCTGATTAATAAATCTAAATATATCCTGCACTTTGGAGGACAGAGATTGAGAATGAAAATTAATATTATGCAATAACATAACTTTAATAATAGAAAGAGAAAAAAAAACAAAAAGAGAATCAAAGTTTGTATGCTTTTTACAAATATATTTAGAACTGTATTATAGAGCTAATGAGAAGATTTTTTTGAATCTATTTTAAATATTAATAAAACATTTCTCTATACCACTACTTTTTGGTAAATTAATTGTAGTAGTATTTTTAAGAACAGTTAAAATATAAGATATTCATTTATTTAAAGTGTATTTCATTTTATTTAATATCAATTGAATGGGGCTTTGTTTTTGCCCCTGCCAACTTATTTTCACTTAAGTAGATATTTATATTGCTTAGGCTACTATTACACTATCAAATTTCTTTGTTAAAGATTTTATTTAAAAGATATTTTATGAAGAATTTGACAGTGTAATATGTGTGATTTTATAAAATATTGTTAACACTAAAATTTTTCGTTGGCTATTTGCCTGATCTTTTCTGATGTTTCTTTTACATATGAAATAGATGATCTCGATACAACTGTTCACACTTGATAACGGTCAGTGATACATCTGACCGAAAGTTGAGAAAATGTTCAAAATTAAAGACAATTTTGGTTCTACTAGATATTTTATTTCATAATTCGTCATTGTCTAAGACTTTCAAGCAAAGCTAAGGACGTTTTGTATTGTATTGTCGAACTTCTTTGTCCTTAAATAATAACTGCAGAAAAACATGAATTTTACACTTTATTATTATTGTCAATATTGAAAGTCGTTTATATATTTTCTGATTTAGGTCAATCCGTCCCTGGTCGAAGTACGCCTCAGCATTCACCCAACATTAAAATACCACGATCATCTAATGCTTCAAGACTGTCATCGTCGGCTCCACATCTTGGATTTGAGCAAATATGGCAAAGGAGAGAACCTAGAAAGCATTTGTTGTCCACAAGGTAAGTACAGTGCGTCCCATTTTCGTGTGTTTTCTGGGGTTTGGTTTGGTTTGGTTTTATTTGTAGTGACCAACCTGCACAATATCAGACCTTGTTTTCTTTGTATCATGGTGGCGTAACTTTTTTGTAGAAGGGGAAATCTTGCATAGACGTCTATCAGTGGTGGTGGTTGTGGACAGTGTGAGATTCCTACTCACATCCTCCATGCGGATTGCCGCATAAAGCAATTGGGAGTACACTATATACCTGCTAGAACTTTCCTTTTAGCTGCTCGGGGTCACCCCACGTTTGGCATGAGGTTACTAAGCGCTGAAACGGTATTTTTCAGCATTCGCTATTGTTCTGGTTATGTGCTCTCCAAAGGTAATCTTGCCGTCAAATCACACGCCAAGGTTAAATAATAAATAGCGGTGGCTTAACTACATTTTCGCTGGAAGATGTCATTCTTGAAATATGACTCAAACTTATGATTATTTTTTAAATGGAACACCCTGTATGTTCTTTTTTTTATTTGTCTTTTGTGAGATTTTGATTTGCCTTTTTGTGTTTTGTTATTGTCTTAAATATAGTGTACTTATTTTCATAAATAAGGTAAAAGAATTAATTATTTAACTTTTTAAAAGAGACGGCCGGTTTAAAATAGGTAATCAAAACAATCGAAAATAATTTATTCAACATCAAATTTTGATTATTGGCTATTCCACGCTAGTTTCTGTTATCTAAAAGCTGCACAAACTTATTTTCAGTGCAGTTTATTAAGATAACACGATGGAAAGCAATATTATCTGTTAAATTAAATTAAATAAAATGACAATACCCTTTTAAACTAGGTTTATTTATGTTAAAAAGTTAAAAAATACATTTTTTACTTTGTTTATCAAAGTAAATATAGAATACTAGCGTGTAAACCCGCGACTTCGTTCGCGTCGAATTAATCATTTGTAATGGTGATGATAAAGCAAAGCAAGAATTTCCATTAACATACAAACTGGATAAAATTTTCTCACATTTATGTCAGCATGAGAAAAAAACAATATGGCGATATTATTATATAACTTGGTAATATTTGAGGGGTAGTTTCATCTCGTTGGAATTTGACTTTCGAAAAATCCGTTTGCCAAAAATAGGCTTTTTACGTCAAGCAGTTTAAGCAGAATCGTGGTTAATCAATTACCCAACTTTTTGGAACACCATGTATGATTTTTTAAAAAATTTCAAAATATGTAAAAAACAAAATAAACCAAACCGTTTTTTAAATAACAAATATTGTAATATTTGAGGGGCGTTTTCACCCTCTTGGAATTTGAGATTCAAGAAACCCCTCCTTATCGAACCCCTACACCCCACAGTCAATCCGTTTGCCAAAAATCAGCTTAAACGTCAAGCAGTTTAAGCAGAATAATTATTGTGATTAGTCAGTGGTCATATTTTATAAAACACCCTGTATAAATTTTTAAAAAATCTTAAAATATGTAAAATAATAAAATAAAATATGAGCATTTAAGAATTTTTCCGAAAAACTCACCTGTTTTTTAAATAAACAATATTCTAATATTTGAGGGGTGGTTTCACCCCTTTAGAATTCGAGTTTCGATAAATCCCTTCTTATCGAACCTCTACACCCTAAAGTCAATCCGTTTTCCAAAAATCAGCTTTTTACGTGAAGCGCTTTAAGCAGGATCGTGATTAACCAATGACCAGATTTTTCGAAACACCCTGTATACATTTTAAAGAAATCTTAAAATATGTAAAAAAACAAAATAAAATATACGTGTAAGCGTTTTTTCGGAAACTTGACCGTTTTTTAAATAAAAAATATTGTAATGTTTGAGGGGTGGTTTCACCCCCTTGGAACTCTAATTTCGAAAAATCCCTTATCGAATCTCTACACCCTAGAATCAACCTGTATGCCAAAAATTGAGCTTCTTACGTTGATTGGTTTGAGCAGGATCGTGATTAATCAGTATATCAGTCACTTAAGGATTTTATATATTAGTATAGATATTATATTTTTAGAAAGCTCATGACAAGGCAAATAAAATCAAAAATAATATAGAGGGTGTCTATTAAAAAAAATAAGTTTAGGTCATATTTCGGAAATGACAGCTCCCAGCGAAAAACTAGTTTCGCCACTGGTTTCTAAGTAAAGTATTCTACGGGATTCGATATTTTATAGGCTTGGTGCATTTCAGTTGATTCCGATAAATTCCGATCGCAGCGCTTCAGCGGCAAAAATCAGAAATTATCAGTACCTATATCACGCGGCCGTCATGTTGATCGCATTAAAATAATATTGAAATCGTGGTTTTGTCATAATATTTAAGTATTTTAGTTTTTTGCTAGTGCAGTTATCAATACTATAAATCACTCAGGTACGAAGTTTGTTTGATGTAACGCTGTTTCGTGTAGTAAAAAATAAGTGAAAAAGAATTCGAACTACGGGTCGTGATGTGTTGTGACAATTTCAAATTGCCGAAAAAATGTTAACGCGTAAAGGAGAGCATAATTAAGGCGTCGTTGCATACAATAACATTCAATAATTCAACTCTTCCGAAACAACATTTTATAGTTTCATAGTTTCTCACACCGATTTGATCAAAATCAAAAATAAATTCAAGCAATTTGACGAAACGAGTGAGAGAATGCATCAAGCCTATTAGATAACCAAGATACGAAGGAGTTGAAAATGATACATTTTCAATTTCACCCTGTATTTCAGAAACTAAGGAGGCTAAACCCCATAAAACACGAAAATGTACTCTTTTTACGTACTTCCGAAACGTACTCTTTCTATAGAAGAAATTCGGCACTCAAAAGCAGACCTTACCGTTCCTGTATATTATCTAGTAAGTTAACTCTTACAAAAAACTCTTGTTCTTTCAGTTCGCTGGCCGAATGTGGATCAACTTCTTCTCTCTCTACAGGAGGCATTATGAGTCCTGATCCGCCAGATTTTTCCCACGACGAATACGATAGCGAGGACGACAGCGACGGAAACTACGGAGACTATTCATCCAATAACAGTAAATATTTTTAGGCGAATTAAATTCTTCCAACTCTCTACAGTTTTCCTTCTAGATTCCGAAGACGAGGAACAAACTAAATCTAACAAAAAAGAACGCTTTTTCTGGCAGTACAACATCCAATCCAAAGGACCTAAAGGACAAAGACTGGTTATGAAATCAAAAATGGAGAACCCGCACGTTCTGAATGAACCCACAGATCCTGTTTTTAGTCCAGAATGCTCAGTAAAAGGGATCAAACACAGTGGTAAGTACATTTAAATAAAATACAGTTTGCACAACATCTGTTGAATGCTGGATAAAATTTTGAACTCAAAAGTTCGGAGTTCTAACATTATAAAAAGATGTTTTGAATCTATAAAAAATAGTCATGTAAATAACATTAGTTATCAATATTTAAGATAGTAAACTGGTTGCAATAGAAAAGAAAATGACATACATCTGTCAAGTATCCTTTCATTGGACGATTTAAATTTCAACGGTATTTTAATAGATTATTCTGTTTTGCTTCAGTAAATCTTCAAAAAATATAAAAAAAAATAAAAAATACCGTTTCTATAATATCGAGGGGGAATACATATGACGTATTTTTTGAACCACCCCGCCCAATCCCTTAGGCGGCACCCCTACTCACTTGAAAATCTTAAATGGCAACACCCCACTTGTGGCGCCTTTTTGGAAAGCCCATGAAAAATGCTAAACGATGATCATAAAGTTTTTAGGGTAAAATTGAAAAACTACCCCTTACACGAAAAATTAGGTGGACATTAACGAAAAAAGTGATTTTTTCAGCATAAGTTACAAATTGGGACCCAGCTGAATGAGGCAAATGAGGTATTTTTCAAACCATCCCGACCCACCCCTAGGTTGTGCCATCCTATCAATGCCATTTTGAAACCATTGCCATTTTGAAGCTAAAAATAAAAAATGTAGATAATAAAAAAGGCAACACAAAGATGTTTTACTAATCGATCAGCTTAATTTTGCGATAACGCAAATTCTTCCTTATCATCTATTTTTTTACTTTCAACAAACAGGAATCTTAAAACGGCATATCTTTGCGTTTTTTGCACTGTCTTCTATCGAGTTTCAATCGTTTGCAAATTTGGTGGTATTTTAAACCTTTATTTAATTCGCTTATTTGAAAGACAAATGGTTTATAATGTGGAAGAAAGCATTCAAATAGTTTTTCTGTATGGTGTTGAAGGTATGTGCTATTTGAGAACGGCCCGTGCTTTCAATGACAGAAATGTTAGAGATTTGATTCTAAAGTTTCAAGAAACTGGATCGGTGAAAAATAAAAAAAATGGACAGTGCCCAGGGTACTGAATGAAGAAATGCAGATGATGGAAGTTATTGGTCAGGTATCGGTCAATCCAGGAGCATCAACACACCAGTTGGCATCAATCACAGGTATACCTCGAACATCTGTCAGAAGAGTATTGAAAATGTACAAATTCCATCCCTACAAAATGAAGATTCTGCAGGAACTTGGCGACGACGATCCAGATAGAAGGATTCAGTTCTGTGAACTAATGACGGAGGAAATTCCAAGGGAACCTTCACTCACTAAAAATATGTATTTTAGTGACGAGTGCTCCTTTTTTTTAAACGGAAATGTGAATAAGCAGAACTGCAGATACTGGAGCGATGAGAATCCGCATATTGTTGTTGAAGGACACACCCAACATCCCCAAAAGCTCAATGTTTGGTGCGGAATACTAGGCGATAAAATTATAGGACCATTTTTCATCGACGGAAATTTGACTGGTGATGCTAATGTGGAAATGCTGAACATTTTGATAGAGCCAGCCATTGTAAATGAGATTTGGAAGGAATTTTAACTCTTAATGAAGACCTCATACAGTTTCAGCAAGATGGAGCCCGTCCGCATTATTCTATTGTCAAGGCGGTGATTGGCAGAAGGGGTCCAATCGAGTGGCCGCCAGGATCACCTGATCTCACCCCTTTAGACTTTTTCTTGTGAGGTTACACTAAATCCATAGTCTACAAGATAAAACCAGGTTCGTTGCTAGAATTGCGACAGAGGATAACCGAAGCATGTCGAAATATTCCGAGAGAGACTTTCCAAAAAGTGAGAGAAGAATTTGAAAATCGTTTGTATTTTTGTGTGGAGCAAAACGGCTGTCATTTTGAGCAATTGTTAAAATAAATTATCATTTTAAATTTATTTCAAATTGTCACACCTACATTTCTTATTACTTTTCAATTTTTTTTTAATTATCAGTAATTAAGTTGAAGTCTGTTGACCATCGTTTAGCAATTTCAATTAGCTTTCCAAAGAAGTGTCACAAGTAGGGTATCGCTATCTTGAGATTAGAAGTGAGGGGGTGACACCTAGGGGTGGGTCGGGGTGGTTCGAAAAATAACTCATTTTCCTCATTTAGCTGGGTCCCAATTTCTAACTTATGCTGAAAAAATCACTTTTTTCATTAATGTCCACCTAATTTTTCGTGTAAGGCATAGTTTTTCAATTTCACCCTAAAAACTTTATGATTATCGTTTAGCATTTTTATGGGCTTTCCAAAAAGGCGCCACAAGTGGGGCGTTGTCATTTAAGATTTTCAAGTGAGTAGGGGTCCGCCTAAGGGATTGGGCGGGGTGGTTCAAAAAATACGTCATATGTATTCCCCTTCGATATTATAGAAACGGTATTTTTTATTTTTTTTATATCTTTTGGTTAAAAATTATAGCCATTGTAAGTTTTCAGTGGCCCACCCTGTATAAATTATAAACTAAAATCAAATGCATTGGCGATTGGCAGTGGCGAATTCACTGCATTCTTAAATATAATGTTTTTTGATTATCGTACATAAAACCATTCTATCCTAACCTAACCTAACCATTCTTTTTTAAATAGGTAAAGCGCGTAAGGGAGACGGCAACGACCTCACACCAAACCCACGGAAACTGTTTACTATAGGCAAAGAGCTGGACAGGCTTGGACGCATAATTAACGACATGACACCGGTGAGCGAGCTACCTTTCAACGTCAGGCCTACCTCGAGAAAGGAGAAAAACAAACTGGCATCGAGAGCGTGTCGCTTGAAGAAAAAGGCCCAGCACGAAGCAAACAAGATCAAGTTGAGCGGATTAGAGAATGAGCACAGTAAGTTTACTACAAACATTGCATTTCATTTAGCATTAGAATATCTTTAGAAAAGATAGCATAAATGGGGGGTGTTAGACTGATGCAGTTAAGGTTGAAAAACTTTAGTGTTACAAAAGAAAGCACTCCAATTACACTAAAATCCTTTTATATTCCACACTCGACGCACGTTTTGCTAACCATGTTAGTATCATTAAGTTAATTCATATTAGTACATTAAAACTGGATGTTTTCATCATATGTATCAGCATCTGCAACTAGTGTATAGGAACGTCCTATTCGTGACGAGAGAATGATCCTGAACACACATGAACGTTGAAGATGACTGTGAAAAAACGACAAGGTTCCTTCTAAATATTTATTTTTACAAAATTAGAAGTTTCTCATTAGTATTTATAATACACCATATTATACATACCCTATAAAGCGAGTCTTGGGTCTGCGTTTATACGTCTAGGTTTGCAGTAAATCGGAAAAAGAAAAACGCGAAGTATCTATTAGGGTGCGTCCAGAGCTGACGAGACGAGAGCGAGATAAGCGCGAGACATTCCAAATTCGCTAAATGTGGACGGGTCACGCGATAGCCTCGAGAGACAACCCATGGATAGAAATTTTGCGTCACTGATAATTTTTACCGTACCGAAATCTAACATTTCTTTAATCAATTGAATTATTACAAAATCTATTAATTTTAGATAATATCATATGCAAAAATTTACTGAATTGTACGTAGAATCTCATAATAAAATAAAAAATATGATATTTCCATTAAAAAATATATTATGTTATATCCGCAACACTTTTTGGAGAAATTGCTCTACAGTAATTTTAAAATGTGCTTCTATCTAACTTTTCTATTTAACATTTTACTCTAAAAAAAATGTATTTTGTAAAAGACGTCGTGTCTCGAAACAAATGACGAGTCAAAGGGGAAAACAACCAAAAGGGAAAAATCAATTCAAATCAACAAATTATCTCGTCACAGGCTTGCCTCAAAAAATGTATAGATGTCTCGCTCTCGTCTCGTCAGGTCTGGATGCACCTTTACATATCCACTTAATCCGACGCTAGATTTCATACGTTTGGGAAAATACTTGCTTTTCTTTCTTTATTCCGTATATCTTGTTGTGCTGAACGTATTGACTGTACTCTTCGTATACACGAAAATGGACACCAAGATCAGAAATGCTCAACTGATATAGACATTTAGCAAGCGACAACGTGATAACACCGGGATATACGATCCGTTTTTTGTTGCTTAAATTATTAGTTTAGGATTCCCTAGTATAATTTTTGCCGTTTTTAATTTGTAAATAACACTTTGTAGTGTTGGTAGTTACTCTTCAATATAAATATGCCAAGAAAGAAGATCTCATGTTCTGAATACCTATTTCGTTTTTTTTATTTTTGTTCTAAATGTTCTCAAAATTCTTTTTTCGACATTTTTTTAATTAAATTTTTAGCTTTATGTTTCATTGGAGTTTTTTCAGTTTAAGTAAGGTTATTCCACTTTTGATTATCTGTTAGAGATGCTAACTTGGTTAGCGAAATGTCAATCAAAAATAAAATATTTTAATGTCTTGCGATAAAATTATTTGTTTTTTGTATTAATTTGAAAAAATGTATTATTGACATTAAACCGGCAACGACGCAGTTTCAAGATCTAACAACTATAAACGAACTAATTAAAATTAACATTTTAAACAAAAACGTTCAATGATATCAACAATCAATACCATACGACAAAAAACCAGCGTCGGGGTTAAAAAATTAATATCGTCATTTTATATTATGTAAAATTACGCAATCGATCGTCATTTCCAAGCCCACTTGCTACGTTTTTTTTTTCGTTTATACGGTATACTAATGTTGAAAAATGTTTTATTAAGTCTACAGCGCTGGCAAGTCTTGCTATTGGGTCGCCATCTATATTTGTGGAAGTGAATCGCGTAGGGATCTTATTAAGTCAGAGTGAGAAAAATGCGACGGTGTGCTGTTGTGGCGTTGCCATATTTATCAGAGATAGAGGTGCGCTTTTTCCTGGTCGAAAGACTCTTATTTCTATTATTTTTTTTTCGGAAAGACAACTAGATAAAATTATTAGATATGTTTCTGGGTATCTCGAGGGAAATCGAGTTATAAGTAATAACAAAACATCAATAATCACGGTAATTTGAAAACTCAACTTTTTAACACATAACAGGAGATACGTGACGCAGTCCGTCCCAATCATAGTTCATGAACCGACCTAGTTATTATTTTACTATTATATATTGCAAACAATTAATTTGCTGACATTACATTTCATGTTATTGAATATTAGATATACCTATTCACTTTATGATTAACTTTCGTACAGTACGCAGTTACTTTATATTGTCAAATTATTAAATTGTAATTTTCTTGAATAAAATAAATTTTTAAAAACAAGTTAGTTACAATAAAATACATAACTGGCGCAGTAATCGTGTAGGTGTCTCAGAGATTCCTGGTTTTGCAAGCAGTCCCACAAAAAGACGTTGCCGAAGTCCAGAAAATCGTCAGTTTTAACTGTTTGTTGAGGCACAGAATCTAAGGCAGGAAGACCACAGTTAAGAAGAAATTAATCTATCGTAAGTGAGTTTTCCTTTCCACTCCCATATAATTGTGTGTATAATTTACATTATTTCATAATATAATTTTAATTTAAAAGTTTTTAAGTTTTAGTATAGAACGATAATTTGCTTACATTTAATTTTTAAAAAAAAAAGTGCAATAATTTAGTTAATTTAGTTTTTACATTTTAATGTCCGAGAGTGAAATTGAAAGTATAACTCAAAGCCTTTTAAATATTTCTCTTTCAAACATGACCACCCTTACAGCCGCAAAAGAGATTGCTCATACACTTAAAACTTTTACAGGCAAAAGTGAACATTTAGAGTTTTTTATTTCAAGCATAGATAAATTTTACAATAGATATTTTATAGGTACTGCTGATGAATCTCTTAAAGAATTCGTTTTTGCGTCAATTTGCAGTAAAATAACCGAGGAAGCAGGCGACTTTTTACTTTGTAGACCAGATTTAACGACCTGGCCCAAAATAAAGGACGCGTTAAGACAAAGATTTGGTGACCGAATTAACCGACAAGTACTTGCTCAACAGCTAAATTTTTTGACCCGATCTAAAAGAGAATCCATTTTAGACTTTATTGAACGATTAAAATTGTTAAAATCACGTATTTCTCTAAAAATTGCCGCTGATGATTCTTTGGAACAAGGCACAAAAGAAGCTCTATTAGAGCAAACAGAATTAACAGCCGTTACTGTCTTAATGTCAAACTCTCCTAGCGAGCTTCGAACAATTTTAATGCTAAATAATCCAAAAAATATTGATGACGCAAGTTCAATTGTCCTAAACCACTCCCTTATCGAACAACAGATAAACGCACGTACATTTTTTCCTCGACAAGACCTCTATAATATGACTCAAAATAGAGCACCTTCTCAAGTAAATAATCGCCAAAATTTCAACTTTATGCCTCCACCCAGCCAACAATCTTTTGTTAACCCCTTTCCAATGACACAAAACAACGTTCAACCCCAACAATCTTTTGTGAGTCCCTTTCCAATGACACAAAACAACGTTCAACCCCAACAATCTTTTGTAAGTCCCTTTCCAACGACACAAAATAACGCTCAATTTTCAAGCAGCACAGGTGCTATACCTAAACAACCATTTCCAAGCCAACCAATAAAAATTCCACAAACACAAATGGTACGACAAAATTTTCCGACTAACGAACAAGTTTTTGGCAAGCCAAAAAATGTTTTCTCTAGAGAAAACTCTAATAAATTGACTAGCCCCCCCAACACCAATGTCTACAACCAGTAGAATGCCGTCGACAGTAAGTAGAAATTCAGACGTTCACATGCGCTCAATCCAAACCCAAAGACAATTTCCCCGAAATCGAAATTCATTCGCCCAAAACCGACACCCATTCACTGATTTAAGCTATCTAGCAGATATGCCAGACCAATATCAACAAGACTTTTGAATATTTGCCTGAAGAACAAGAATATCAAAACTATATCGAACCTCCCGAATATCAAGATATAGAATATTTCCAAAATCACGAAATTCCGCAAGATTCACAGGAAGAAAATTTTCTCAACAGCCCTCTAAACGAAAATCCGTCCTAAATTTAAACAGCTTTCAAGTCAACTCTCTTCCCTACATTCAACTTCAAAATCCCCCAGCTAAACTTCTTATCGACACGGGTAGCCACACATCCTTAATCAGACCATCTATAGCGGAAGAATATTTTCCACAATTAATTTACCCTTGTAAACACACCCTAGTAACTTGTACCGGCAATACCAATACCCAAAATAAAACAAAAATTTCCTTATTAAAAGAATTCAATATAAATAACGAACTCGAACTAATTTTATACAGCTTTCATGACTATTTTGATGGAATAATAGGAATCAGAGATTTGCGTAAATTAGGTCTTAATATCGATATAACAAATAAGCTTTTAAAAAACGATACGATTGAAATACCTATCTATTACAGAGACAATTTTGATTTACAAAAAATAGAAATACCACCCTTATCTATAATAATGAAAAACATAAACACTGATATACCTGACGAAACCGAAATATATATTCCCCATTTACGTACTGCTCAAAAAATCGAAATTCCAGGTTCACTTTTAAAAGTTCAAAATGGTACGATCCCTTTAGAATTTCGAAATCAAACTAATGAATACATCGTTCTAGATTTTTATCCGGATTCAATTAGGGAAGTAGCCCAATTTTTTGATTCCCAAAATTTCGAGATATTTAATATCGAGCAAATAACATCCAACTTTCAAACACATGACAATTCCGATCACAACCAAGATTTTTCGCTTCTCCGTACAGATCATCTAAATAACGAAGAAAAAGCAGCCCTTAAAAAAGTCATCAATCAATTTCCAGAAGTTTTACATAGACCAAACGAGAAACTATCTTGT